GGATGGACGCGTCTATCAAGATCCTAAAAAGATAAACTCATTTCGTAGACTGATGAATAAACTAATGTGGCCTGAATTGTTTCTGGCATTTAAAGTACATTATAGTGTTACACGTGTCCTCTAATTATAGAACACTAGTGTCATGAATGATAACTACAATGTGTACAACAAGACAATCTACACTCTTATAGTAAACTGTTGTTTGTCTGTTTGTTGTTGTTTTTTCACTAGTCACGCTATTAAAGATACGTTGTCTAAAAGTAAATCTGATTTGATGATTGAAGTCACATTTGTTAAGTCAAGTATAAAATCTGACTTTTTGTACTTCAAGTGCTGGAACTGGGTCATGAAAAACGCGTGGACGTGGCGTTGGTGGGAGGGTGGTGGCAGGTAGAGAACTCATCGGGGAACTGATATTCTGATAGTAGACTCCAAAGGGGGGCAGGATAAAGGGAGATAATATTTGGCCAAAAAGGAAACGCTGCAAGATATGACTAATGCACGCCTTTGGAAGTGGTTCAGTCGAAAAATAAGCGGAGGAATATAACCTAACATTTAATGCCGACAGTTTTTGAAAGTTATGTTTGAAGCCGATGAGGACGCTCTGATTTTGATTTGTCTTTTACAAGTCATTGAAAATCTAAGGCGGCATGTACATGTGAACAAAACTGCTTCAGTTTTAATGTTGGGACAGAAACTGGTGACACCGAGTTTCGACGTCATCTCTGGCCACGTGATCGGAAAATAAATCATCAAATTTACACTGGAATAAAAAAAATGTAGAATGTTTGTAAAATCTTCTACATGTTTCAGATGTTCCTTCAGAGTTGAAGATAACTATTTCCTAGTCCAAACCTCCCGCAGGACGACGGGGGATGGGAGCGGGCAGGGTTTGAACCCGGGACCATTGATAAATCTGAACGACAGTCCAGCGCGCAAACCGCACGACCAGGCAGCCATCAACTATTTTATATTGTATAGATACGTATACCATCCGTAGAACGATATAGTAAGATTGAGGTAATAGTTACTAATTCTGTATACGTACTTGTGATCATCTTGTGCATTGTTATTTCTTGAACACAAGGCGCTTATCTTCATACGTATGGTAATGTACGGCGTTCGGAAAACGGGATTTGCATGGGGCCTTTGCCTACGATTGAAGGATTGATGTCTGGGAAGTCTTCCCCTAGAGCAATATATCAGAAACAGGAGCCGCATACGATTTTCTCATTTATATAGTTAAGTCACGACAATGCAGCAAAAAAAGTCGTACGGAGCCTTGTCGTCTGCAGCCTAGACAGAAAGATAACAGTTCGGCAGTAAATCTAGTTGCTTAAAGCTTTCCATATCAGGGATACAAATTGGCTGCATCCAAACAATGGCATCACTCCGGATCATGTTTGGAATAAATTAACATATTTTTTTTTTCTTTTCAGCTTAAGCGATGTTTATCGGGCAGGATTTTATCTTTTAAAAACTGTTTTGGCTGAAAAAAATGAATGGCCGGGATACTTTTTTTATCAGTTAAAATGAAGAAAAGTGTGGCCAACTAGTGTAATTGATGTTCAGGGTGACAATAGAAGCAAGACGTTTTTGTTTGCATAGGGGAGAACACGTGATGTGACACAGGAAGTAACAAAGATACAAGACAACTTACATAGCAAGACATAGTGAGACTTTAGTGTTTATATCAATGAGTCTTTTAAGTCACAAGCCTGCATCACTTCTCTGGATATGCAGTCAAGCTACCAAACAAGTTCAAACAGAAACGACAGTTTTATACAAGCCTGACAGCAGTTGATTATAGTTAAGTCAGAAGTCTAGCACAAATGAAACTAGACGACATATTTAGATTTCTAGGCAAGCAGAAGAGAGGGGAAAAAAAAAAAAAACTCAATTTCCGGTAGGGGAGGAAATTGCCGGGTACTTTTCTCCCAAATGGCAGAGTGGCAAGAAAATTGCTGGTCTATCGCTTGATCATTGAAATAGTAAATTATCTACTTTACGTACACACACGCATACACAGAGGCTTCACACTCTGGCGTGTTTCAGATAACGAGTGGAGTGTTTCAGGGTCGGCCCGTGACCGTTTCCAAGTGGTGACTAATGCTGCTGACCGGGGGTGATGAGATTTGGTTGGCTAGCTCTTCTCTAGACAGCATGAAGAACATGGATCTATTCAGACTCAAATATAAAGAGACATCTTAACGCTAAGCTAACACCATTACCTAGCCCCAAAGGGAGCTATCTCTGAGATATATTTAGTAAAGCGTATCGGGAAGAAAAAATTAGATGTTCCCTTTGGCAATCAGCAAACAGATACACACACACAAAGCTTAATTTCGAAGTGCCAGCTACTAGACTCCAACTTGGATTCAACCTCGAGTTTCCTTTAAAACCGCTTGGCTACACATCTGAGAGAAATGTTTAATTTCATACTATATGCAACACATGATTTAATAAATAAAAACATAACTCTGGTTATAGAGGTTATAAAGTTTTGAAGACACTTCGAACGACGGCGTTATGACAGAAATACAATGTATTCTTTTGAGAGATCTGAATAGAAGATGTGCTGAAGCACGCCAGAGCCCTCCTTGGGTTGTATCGCCACTGGGGATGGATGGATGCGCTGAACGGATGCAGAAGCCGACCAGAGTCCTCCAAGGCATGTAGCGCCACTGGGGTGAATGGGAGAGAGAGAGAGAGAGTTAAAGTGCCTCTAATGTTGAAAGTCTTACACAAACAAACTAAGCCCAAGGGGTTAGCTGATAGATTGCCAACATCACGAGAGTGGTCAGCGATAACAGGCTAATATGAAGACCTGTCTCTAGACCTAGTTAGCAAAGACTCAACAGACTAATATGAAGACCTGTCTCTAGACCTAGTTAGCAAAGACTCAACAGACTAATATGACCTGTCTCTAGACCTAGTTAGCAGTGACATGATGTGTGTGATGGTGAAATGAGTCCAACATATTGTGGTAGGTTTTGTTTACTGACAATAAAAGTTACATAAGATTATTCTTAACTTCCTATATTGAATCTCATTAGTTCTTTGGATAAATAATAAAAGGCCAAACAAATAAAATGCAATGCAACTGAATTCGTTTTCTACATTGTTTTCCTTTTACAATATTTTAAAATGACAGTGGACTGCTGGTTGTAAATCTATAGTTCTAAACTTTTTTATTTTAATTATTATAAATAGCTGGTAGTATAGTTAAGTCATAAATTACAACCCCGTGTGAGATTTGGACCATAGGAAGTAGGCTTGTGCACAACATTTGATACGCAGCCTAACTAAGCCTAAACAACTCAAGTGACAGAGCCAGTAAATTCAAGGACCAAAACAGTTCTGCTTCTGTACATAGAGAGAACCTTTGAAAATTGCAAGCGATGGACAAAGATTTGAACAAGAAAAGGATTTTCTGACCTAAAAACAACAAAAAAAAAGTCCTGTGGAAAAATGTGGCATGAAAAACACCTTCCTGGCAAGTCGACAGCTCCCCAACACGTCTAATGACGTCATTTACTCCGAACAAACAATTACAACAAGAGACGGCAGAACACGTGAGAGTCGATTCAATTTTCACTGTTTCGTCCAAAAAATGCCAAAAAAGAGAGATAAACAGTTGAATTACAACTCCGCTAGTGGATTTATCTGAGCTTTTTTTTTTTTTTAAATCCCTTCCTCCCCCATCGAATGTGATAAAGCCGGCAGCAGTGTGTCTTTGTTCTAGATTTATTTATAGGCGCACTATCACTATCAGGGTTAGGCCTAGATCTACCAAATAAAAAAAAAGAAAATTGTATTCGTTCAGTGTGCTCGCAGGATGTGTGTAGATTGAACAAGTAATCTCTAACCCAACCAATCTGTGTCAACTCGTATGAACTGATGGAAAAAAAAGTCCGTGACAAGTGTCAGACATACAAACGCAGTCTGTTGGACTTGAGATAATGTTATGATAGTATGGAGTGATAAGGAACCTTTCACAACTAAACAAAAATAGGCTGCATCCTACCCCCCCCCCCATCCCCTTGGAGTTTTGTGAAAGAGTCAGTTCTGGTTTAATGTATGCGAAACAAAATAAGTTCCTAAAGGGAAACTTTACTTTTTTTTAAATGTATTGGCCAGGTAGTAGATGTAGATTCATGCGCACTGATATATTGTCAAATAGAAATGAAAAAAAAATGGAAGTAATTTCATAAGAGATAAGCACATTAAACTTTTAAAGTTAAGGCCTACATAGTGCAAAGTAGAGTGCTTTATAGATCTACACATCGATATGCTTATTAAATAGCGCAGAGCTCTCTAGTACTCAAACAAATATATACACGAAGAGAGCAATTAGGATCCATAAATTTGCACCCATACGGAAGGTTTTGTGGTGGAAAAATTAACCGGATGTGATGTTTTTGTTCATTCACAGAAAGCTTGAGTTGTCTGTGCATGCATTTAATATTCCGTTGGGCAGATACTATTGCTTAGTTGTTAAATTTATTTGCTGTGTAGCCAAGCGATTTAACAAACAGAATCGGATATGAATACAGATTGGAGCTTTTAAGATGAGAAAATAATTACCCTATCTTATGAAATACAGACATTACTTCAAAACAAAAAGATGATTACGTCCTCCGCGTGTTCCTAGGTCAATCTTGCCATGCATGTTAATCAATGTTCTCAGTTGATTATTAAAGTGTGCATGTAATTTATGTATATCACAGCTAGGACTTTGGAGCCACGTGAAATACTGTGATCTTCCTTAATCTTTGAACCCAACGGCATGTTTTAGTATTAGAGTGTGTGACGTAACTAGATCTAGAAGATATCCAATCCAGATTATCAGAATATATAAATCTCACGAGTATCCTACCCATATTATCAGAATGTATAAATCTCACAAGTATCCTACCCATATTATCAGAATGTATAAATCTCACAAGTATCCTACCCAGATTATAAGAATGTATAAATCGCCAGAGTATCCTACCCAGATTATCAGAACTTATAAATCGCCAGAGTGTCCTACCCAGATTATCAGAACTTATAAATCGCCAGAGTGTCCTACCCAGATTATCAGAACCTATTGTTGACAAAACAATCGCGCGTATCGATCTACTAAAAAAAAAGTGACAGATGTTGACCTCGGAAGAGATTACATGAAGAGGGCCGTGTCATGTCAGCAGTGGCCAGCACACGTTAAGGCTCGTGGTACTTCAGCAGTTCAATGAGCCGTTTAAGCGAGTGTCCAACAACCGATGTGTGCTTACCAAAGGCCAAGAACGATAACCGATAAGGTGTTGAAACTAGAGTTATCATAACCTTAATAAGGACACATCGGAAACTAGTTCAGATCTCTATTATTTCCTTGTTGTCGATAAACTTATGAAACTAAACAAACAATTTAAAAAAAAAAAAAAAAAAAAGGAGCAGACGGATAGTTTTAGGCAGTATTATAAAATGTTTGAACAAAAATACAGATCTAAGATATGAGTAAATTTGGACTATGAATTCAGTTGAAAAGAAATGAAATAACAACTCAGCTCCACAGACCGAGTGATAGACAAGGGCATTTTCAACGCATTTTTTTTTTTATTTTAGAAACTTAGAACATAGCCGGCACAGGTGCAGGAAGCCTGAAAATGTTTTTTTTCCCATTAGAGTTGAAAAAAAGTAGCGAGTATTTGCCGTTTTTCTCTTTTACCTATCTACTGGTGCGCTAAATAAAGAATTACATTTTTTTTTTCTCTGACAAAGATTGCACAGTACAATGTGTCAGAATTGACGCCAAAATATTCAGTCCGTAAAAATCAAAGAGATAACAACCGTTTTTAAAACAAAGTTTTGATGAACAAATTAGGCTGGTATTCTAAAAGTACAAAATCACAACATGACAATGCTAGATGTACTCTTTGAAATAAGTTGCGCAATAAAATTCATAAGTCTAAGACCTATTGCGCTTTCAGAGACAGGCATTCCCCTACCATACACTTACAGTCTTACACACATAATTTTTTAAAGCGTTGCGCCAACATGTCTGCCAATTGTTACTTTAAATATAATAAAAAATTTAAATAAACAACTGCTGCATACTAAAACATCGTTGAAAACACCCAAAACGTAAGGAAATGTAACACTATTCAATAACTAGCTGACCTGTTTTAAACATTTTAATATTTAATGTACAAGTAACTCTAGACCAACACAAAGTCATATGCATATAGCACTGAATAATAGATTGATCTAATGAGTCTAATCTAGATCCATCGAACAATAATTTGAATAATATTTGAATCAGTTCCAAGATGGGATACAGCGAGTTTAAGGGTTTGAAATAATTTGTATCGATGAGTCTAGAATCTAGAACTACATTATATGTATTTATTATAATTTATATGAAAAACTATCAAGAGACCTTAGAGAGTGGCGTGGTTTTACTGAGGCATATATATCATGAGGAACGCAATGGAAAGATGATGATCATTTATATGAGTTTTGATTAACATATAACAAGTTAGATTTGTAGATCTAAGAACCCCAATCTAAGTCTAGTCGTGCTTAAATTATTCTATTCAATTGAAAAAATGTTTTTTGTTTTGTAACTAGATTTAGGATCTAGAATATCTAGATCAAATAATAAGTAAATCTATATAGACTGTGGACAGATCTAGAATAGATAGCTATAGCTAGGCCAGTATATGCTATAGGTCTATATTTCTCTCTCTCAATTATTATACAGTGAATAATATATATTTATTATTCTAAATATATCATACTCATGACAAGATCTACCCTATTTATATACAATTTGACTCTAATAGGTGATAGGTCTTAAATAATATAGACCTAGATCTATAGTTTAGATTTAACACTTATTCAAGAATGTACACTTTGGTTTCTAATAGTTATAATGTTTTTTGTTTGGTGTAATGCACAAATTGTAAGACAAATTTCTATACGGATAATAAAGATTATTATTATTAAAATCGTGAATCTAGATCCATATCTAGTAGGTACTTAGTAGATATATTAAATTATATTATCAGGTTATCTAGATATTAGGGTCTATTATTAATTATTAAACATTTAAAACAAACAGCACACATAAAATCACAATTTTCACATTTCTAAAGTAGTCTCAGTTATTTAAGTGTAAGTATAGAGTATAGATAGTATATATACTGTAACACTGTATATCTAGATCTAGTAAAAGTAACGGCACAGTAACTTACCTGACTCATGGCTGCAACTAAAAGTTCGTCCTTTCCTAATGCGTCTTACGCAGCCAACTCAAGGAGAATGCAGGTAGACATTGGTACATAACGCATTTGAAATAATCCAATACATTTTTTTTCTGCCAAGGAAATAGACCGTCGTAAGGTAGTCAGAATGTTTACAAAGATCAATGAAAAACACTTAAAAACAACTCACTACTTGGTAAATCCACAAAGTTATCACATCAGCTTTTCGAATACTATTAGAAAAGAGCTTTGATAAATTCTTACAGATAAATTCTTACAAACATGTACACACCAACAAGTGATTTAACACACTGGAACAGCAAGAACAAAAGTTAAATATGCCAACTCCGCAAACGTTACACAGACAGTCCCGAGTCTAGGTCCACGGGTTTCCACCAGTCTGTCACGCAGTGTGTTGCTTTCAGTCTGATGTGTCTGCGAGTTGAGCGACCCGGATAAAAACATTCGCACCTTTGGGGAAACCACCAATGATTGTTAAGGAGATTTCCTGATGCCGTCCAATCAAAATATAGCACTCGCTATTTTTAAAAGTGATTGGATTTGGAAAATAAAATGCAGTTGTACCAGAGACTAGAGAAAAAAAATAGATGCTTCCCTAATTATGCTTTGCTATTACTTTGTATAATAAAATAATAATAATAATTGGTTATTATAAAACATGGAGGAAAGTATAGTTATTAATTATTGATACAACACACAACAAAACAGAACTCAAGGTTGTTTGTTAATTATTTATTATATCTTTATATTTTGAAATCAAACAAGCAACAACAATGTTCAGAATTAACGTACCCTAGATCTATGTTTGCGTCTCTTGAAATATTTTTTTTTCTAATTTAGTGAGTTAAGTTGGAACAGACTTTATTTATTGTTTATAAATAGGACTCTTACAAAGGCTGAAGCGTTTACGTAAACAAATAATCCCGCGTGAAACACTCTATGGGACGCTTGTCATGTACGCCGAGATATTACTGTACACATCAGAGAAACTTAAAAAAAAAAATCCGTTTATAAAGATGGAAAGAAAAGGTTTAATAATTGTATTTACATATTTTACAGTGTCAAAGAAAGTTCCCTTTTGTATGTTATTTGATTCCCTGTTTCCCGTGTTTAATTGCCACTTTGAGCTGACCAATGAACACATATTTTTAACAAAAAAAAAATAACTTTTAAATAGCGCACCTTTCATGCTTAAAGCATGCCCAGTGCGCTATTGTCCAATCTCTTTAGTGGAGCAGTTTGTTTATATGATCAGGATAGATTTAAGTTTATCTTTGAATAGAAGCTAGGGTTAAAATATATTGAAATAAAGACAGTAGCATGTCCCAGTGTGAACGGTTATTTGATGTTTATGACCCGTAGGCCCTAACTGTCCAAATATTTAGTACTTATATTATTTTGTTGTTGGCCAATGAGCATTTAGCATGTGTTTATGTATTTCTTTACGATCTTTTTTTTTTAAAATAAACTCCTTTATAATTGTATAACTGAGACTTTAAACTCATTATTCATATGTCTCAGTAAGTCATATATCCAGAGGCTATTATTAGTAGCTTTGGTAATATAATGCAGGAAAAATAAGTACTGTTATACAGAGGTCACTGGTCTCAAGACCTAATCATAATACAAGGTCTGAAAATATCTAGAATCTAGCTCTATATTTAAATGTTCATATTGAAACTGCTGTCTTTCTAGGAGCTAACTGCTGTTGTGTTACAGAAGTAGGCATAAACTGTAAGTTACTTTGTATGCATAAAACATTTTTTTAATTATTTTTAAATTCCATGAATTTGCAGATCTAACCACTAATGGACTGAAATAAAAATTCGTATCATTAACCTACCAATGTCAAGAAGACTATTTGGAGCACTACTTTGAAAGCACTAGTTAGTGCATTAGCACTAACTTTCATTACATTTATTTATTAACCCTAAAGAGTAGGGCTTGAAAAATTGATATTTAGACTCATAAAATTGCTCCTCTGCACGGAAATCTTTAGTAAAAGGCGAAAGATTTACTCGATGTGCAGTGAAGCCAGAGTAAAAAAATCGTAGCATAAATCGAAGTCATGTAAAAATGTTTGATACAAACTTAGGTTGTTAAATATGTTTTTATGGCACTAAAATATTGAAAAGGAAATAGAAATTTCAATCACCTGTTACACAAATAAGGTTTTTAAAAATTAATAATTTAATTGCTTTTAATAAATAGAAAGTAGACAATATTTTAGGTTCATTACTTTAAAGATAATATTTTGAGCTATCGGTATTATTGAAATAATTTTTATCGAGTTGCCTCCCATTTTGTTCTAATTTGAGCTATCAGTGTTGTTGAAATAATTTTATTGAGTTGCCTCCCATTTTATTTATTCCAAACTTTTAATTAACCTAACACTTCGCTTATTGGAAGAATTTAGCGGAACACTTTGCTTTTTTTTTTTTTTTTTTAGTTTTATTTTCTAATTGCTTATTAAACGAGGAAAAAAAATACATGATACAAAAACTCTTAAATCCACCATGGTAAGAGCACCACTAGTCGACCGGCAGCGTAGCATACGCCGCTATTTTGCAGGAAACCATTTTTATAACTTATAACAGATTTACCGCGGCCTCCTGATTTACCAGGAGCTCCTGGAAATCTCATGAAATTACAAAATATACGAAAAAAGTCATGAAAATATCCGGAAATTATTAAAAGTATTTTTGAAATTTCATACAAATCTCCCGAAAACATATAGACGAAACTTGTCATTTTGAGATGTCATTCAATATGGAAAAACGCCAATCCTACGCGGGAAAAAAAAGGTATTATGCAATTGTCCGTAATTGTATAATCAGGTGAAAGAAGCGTCTCGCGCCTCAAACTAACGAAGAATTACATGAGGTCAACAATTCTCAAAGATAGATTGAAACATTTGTTTAGTGCAATAAACCAACTCGTCCGTTTCTGTTGCATTTTCACTGTCAGTTTGGACTTTTCCAGCGGGTTTTTGCTGCCTTTTTTAAAAAATTGCCCCACAGCCTGTGGTACTTCTCTTCACGTTTAGGCCAGCTAGACTACTCTAACAATCAGTAGTAGGCCTAATTCTCTTCACGTTTAGGCTTACTATAGATTGCTCCAAACAGTCCATGTTAATTCTCTTCACGTTTAGGCTTACTATAGATTGCTCCAAACAGTCCATGTTAATTCTCTTCACGTTTAGGCTTACTATAGATTGCTCCAAACAGTCCATGTTAATTCTCTTCACGTTTAGGCTTACTATAGATTGCTCCAAACAGTCCATGTTAATTCTCTTCACGTTTAGGCTTACTATAGATTGCTCCAAACAGTCCATGTTAATTCTCTTCACGTTTAGGCTTACTATAGATTGCTCCAAACAGTCCATGTTAATTCTCTTCACGTTTAGGCCAACTAAATTAATCGAGGC